TAAAGTGTTATTGCTGTCTTGGTTCCAGAACAGAAAAATCAACTAAAGAAAAAAAAGGATATCATTTACTGGTACAGTGTCTCTTGTCAAACCCATTCCTTGAAGAGGAAAAGCAATAGAGTTTAAAACAAAACAAAATAAGATATGGCACACATTGACCCAAGAAAGATTTTTGTTTTTTTAGTTGCATGTCACACGTGATTGGTTTTTTGTTTTTGTTTTTTGGTAAGAATGGCAATATTGTGATAGTGGCTAAGGAGGAGCTTCTGTCTATCTTTAAAAGGCACAAGGGCCTTAGAAGAAAAAGCAACAGGTGTCAAAATTAAACAGTTAGAAATTAATTGTGGTAGTGATGTTTCTGTGTGTGTGTGTGTGTGTGAGAGAGAGAGAGAGAGAGAGAGAAGGAAGGAAATAGTATGTTGCTCTACATTTCATCCTTTTGTAACGGATGACAAGCACCTCTAAATTAGGAGTATTAGCTAATTAATCCCTTCCAGCAAAAAGCTTCTGTTAACAAAAACAAGGGTTGTTCACTGATATTTAGAGCACTTTCAAAACCTATAATGGATGGTTTAGGGACTAACTAGCAAATTCTGAGGGCTTGTATAAGAGAGAGGAGCTATATTATATGAGTGGGAATCTGCTTATGTACCTCCAAGTTTCATCTTCTTTAGATTTCTCACTACATTGTTCAGAGCTCAATGGATTAATTTAACACTTTAGGAAAGGATAGCCTCAAGAGGACTGTAAGATAATGTATTTCCGGTTTGCAAAATCAGAGGTAGAGATGTTGAATACCTTTCAAAAAACACTATTTGTACTACAGCTCTGCTATATACTTCTAAAGGAAAACCTGGAGTGCAGAATGCTGTGTGTATAAAGCAATTTTAAAAGAATAGTGTTGAGCATTGAAATCCGTAAAGAACGTTAATGTCAGAAGCTGAAAAGAAAGACTTTGCAGGGTGGCAAAGGGTGCATTCTATCTGAATGCAGGTAGAATGCAAAATAATGGAAGAATTCTACAGTTCTCTCAATTTTTAAGAAGGTAAGACAGAGCAATATTGAAGGCCCAATTATGAAGGATGGAGAACTTGTGTCTTTGTAAGACCTTTAATAACTGTACGTGCATAGCTCTGAAGCGTGAATCTGAATCCTAAAGGAGTAATTCAAAAATATAGGTTTGACGAACCCAAAGAGAAAGAGAATGATGGCAGGGAGAAGACAATTTTATTGTGTCTGTTTATGAATCCCCCTTTAACGTTCTTGGGAGATGGAAAAACATTTTAATAGAAAGTCTCCTGGAACTAAGGAATAAAATTACGTAGGACAACTGTTTTTCTATTAACCGAGACTCATTTGTAAGGGGGGAGGAAAAAGACCTAAAGGCTGATCTTCAACTTTATTGCAGATTAGAAACTAATCAACTAGAGCTCTAGATGTGAAATGAACCAATGAAAAAGCTGTTGATTCAAAGGTTGCAGTATACAGGTGAAACTCGAAAAATTAGAATATCATGAAAAAGTTCATTTATTTCAGTAACGCAACTTAAAAGGTGAAACTAATATATGAGATAGACTCATTACATGCAAAGCAAGATAGTTCAAGCCATGATGTGTCATAATTGAGATGATTATGGCTTACAGCTCATGAAAACCGCAAATCCACAATCTCAGAAAATTAGAATATTGTGAAAAGGTTCAATATTTTAGGCTCAAAGTGTCCCACTCTAATCAGCTAATTAAGCCATAACACCTGCAAAGGGTTCCTGAGCCTTGAAATGGTCTCTCAGTCTGGTTCAGTAGGAATCACAATCATGGGAAAGACTGCTGACCTGACAGTTGTGCAGAAAGCCATCACTGACACCCTCCATAAGGAGGGAAAGCCTCAAAAGTTGGATGTTCCCAAAGTGCTGTATCAAAGCACATTAATAGATAGTTATGTGGAAGGGGAAAGTGTGGAAGAAAAAGGTGCACAAGCAGCAGGGATGACTGCAGCCTGGAGAGGATTGTCAGGAAAAGGCCATTCAAAAGTGTTGGGGACTTTCACAAGGAGTAGACTGAGGCTGGAGTCAGTGCATCAAGAGCCACCACACACAGAGACGGATCCTGGACATGGGCTTCAAATGTCAGATTCCTCTTGTCAAGCCGTTCCTGAACAACAAATGTCAGAAGCGTCTTACCTGGGCTAAAGAAAAACAGACCTGGTCTGTTGCTCAGTGGTCCGAAGTCCTCTTTTCTGATGAGAGCAACTTTTGCATCTCATTTGGAAACCAAGGACCCAGAGTCTGGAGGAAGAATGGAGAGGCACACACTGCAAGATGCTTGAAGTCCAGTGTGAGGTTTCCACAGTCTGTGTTGATTTGGGGAGCCATGTCATCTGCTGGTGTTGGTCCACCACGCTTCATTAAGTCCAGGGTCAACACAGTTGTCTACCAGGAGATTTTGGAGCACTTCATGCTTCCTTCTGCAGACAAGCTTTATGGGGATGCTGACTTCATTTTCCAGCAGGACTTGGCACCTGCCCACACTGCCAAAAGCACCAAAACCTGGTTCAATGACCGTGGGATTACTGTGCTTGATTGGCCAGCAAACTCGCTGACCTGAACCCCATTGAGAACTTATGGGGCATTGCCAAGAGAAAGATGAGAGACATGAGACTGAACAATGCAGAAGAGCTGAAGGCCGCTATTGAAGCATCCTGGTCTTCCATAACACCTCAGCAGTGCCTCAGGCTGATAGCTTCCATGCCACACCGCAACTGAGGCAGTAATTTCTGCAAAAGGGGCCCAGACCAAGTACTGAATACATATGCATGCTTATACTTTTCAGAGGTCTGATATTGTTCTATGTACAATCCTTGTTTTATTGATTGCATGTAATATTCTAATTTTCTGAGATTGTGGATTTGGGGTTTTCATGACCTGTAAGCCATAATCATCACAATTATGACACACCACGGCTTGAACTATCTTGCTTTGCATGTAATGAATCTATCTCATATATCAGTTTCACCTTTTAAGTTGCATTATTGAAATAAATGAACTTTTGCACAATATTCTAATTTTTCGAGTTTCACCTGTAGTTATATAATGGTGATGCATACGAGAAGTTTGCACTCTCACAAAAGATCTTAGCTGATGACTGGATGGCCTTGTGACTTTTACTTCATTCTTCAAAGCTATTGCGTACTGGACCTGCTCTGATGTCCTGCTGGAAGGATATAACAGAGCAAACTGAATCTCTAACTGTTCCTGTTTCAGGAAAGATGAATAAAATAAATTATCTGGTCCATACAAAACAAATGTACTGTTTGGGATGCTGTATGTTATACTCTGCAATTTAAACACTTGATTGGTAATATATTTGATAATAGTATGTTTAGTATAGACTTCAGCACTATCACTGATGAAAAGAAAACTCACCCGTTAATTTTCTCTCTGTCCATTTGAATTATCCAGACAAGGCTTTGGCACCAATTACACAAATCTGACTTCCTCATTCACTGGCTGAGCACGCATAAACATTATATACAAATTGATCAGAAACATTACCATCTTGTCATTATATATGGATGGCAGAGCAAAATTCTACTTGCCCAACATAAACCTAACACATTACAAAGAGAAATTTAAAAATACAGGAGAACGTCCTTAAAAATAGGGATCTTATTTTATGCTACAAGTGTGCATGTGTGTGTGTGTACATTCCTTATATATATATATATGTATATAAGTGTATAGTATTTGGTACATTTCAGGGATGGCTAACAGTTGATTCATAAAGAAATTTTATCCTCTCTCCAGTGGTATGATCAAATGTGAATTAAATTTTGAAAACATTTCCTGCAATGTTATTCAAAGAGGAAAAAAAATGTTGTTCAAATGAAGTTTAGGTGGTGTTCCTCTGTGTATGAGAGATGTTGTATTGCATCTCTTTTTTTTGCATTATATAAATATTCATGTTTCGGAACCTTGGCCATTTCTAGGGATAGGAACTTCAACTGCCAGCATTCTTATCAATGGCCATGCTGGCAGGGAATTCTGGGAGTTGAAGTCCACATACCTAGAAATGGCCAATGTTGGGAAACACTGCCCTGGATGATTCAGTTTTATTAGAATTTATAATGGAGAGGTGATCAAATGGTGCATAAAAATATTTTCCTGGTTCTAAACATGGTCTAAAGGATAGAACAGGTTCAAAAGTATGAGTGTTGGCCTTCCCTGATATATACTGCTCATAGACAGACAGGACATGAAGTTTCCCCATGTGTCAGAGAATCTATATGCGACTTCAGTATTCCAGATTTTCCCTTATTCCCCCACCCCAGGTTAACACAAAGGGTAATGGACAGTTCCCTCTTTGAATAGTGGGTAGGGAAAAAGCGATAGTGCAAGACATGAAATACTCACTCTACTGCTTTGAAATGTGCTTTGTCCGCTCTTGTGCCAAGAATTCAGTGAAAGCAGGGCCCTTTAAAGTCTGTATGAAGTCCTCAATGCATTGATGCCTCACACACAAAGGGAAAGTCCATGACTTTTTTCATACACATACACACCTGTTTCCAAGACAGCTACAAATTGCCACATGCATTTAACTAGCTAAAACATAGAAATAGGTAAGCCTAGTTTAGTGGATTTTCCTTAAATTATATTTGACTAAACAGAGTAATGTTGCAAATTACGCCTCTGCTTTCTTTTATATCTACAATAAACATCTATAAACAGTGGTCTCCCAGAACACAGCCCCAATAAAATAAAAATAAACAATAAAGATCACACCCAGTATTCTATTCTTGCAATTTTCTGGTCGGTTAAAAATTAAAAAAGGAAAAAAAAATTAACAAAAAGAAGAGAAACCAAAGAAGCTCCAGTCAGGAGTGCATATTTACATTCTTCAAACTGTAGCGGTGAAAAATAATTTTATTAAGTGCAGGACATTCCTAGGTTTGCAGTAGTGACAAGTTTTAAAGAAAGTCTTCATGACAACAATTCCTTTGTCTGATCAGCGATGCATTCCAAGAGCTTTCACTTTCCCTTCACTTGCAACCAGTAGAATCTGGATTGAACAGTTCCTTGTATAACGGAGGAAAAAGCGTGTTCACTATATCAGGATGAGATTGTTTAAATACCTGCAGTTTTTCTCCATGCAGGTTGCAAAGTGCAGTAATGGTTGGTGTCTTGGCTACTAACTGGAATGCAGACAGAGAAAGATAAACTAAGATTTTTTTTTTTTATTCCAAATCAAAAAGTGCATAAACACATACTTTCAAATTCTTCCAACATCGTTATTATTATTTTTTTACTTTTAAAAACATGGTTTAATAATATTGCTGACTTTTCTTTGCCAACTGAAGCTAAAGCCATACATTAAACAGTTCATAAACAAAACACACATTGCTTAAAAACGTTTAAATCACTAAAATAAATTTTAGGGTACCAAAGATTAGCTAAAGTCAATTTTAGGAAAGAAAAAGTGACTAGCTAGAAAGACAAAACCAGAACTTCTGTGACAGACATCCTGTCAATTAAGTTAATCAGTTAAGGCCTTCTTAATATAGTTGAGAAGCTTAAGCAGGAAAAACTCAAATGGAAACCCCTCATTTTATGGTGAATGTCTGTTTCTCCCATGAGAGGTTAGCTCTTCATGCTACCATTCAGCGGGAGAAAATTTGCAGCAGTGATATCGCCAGTTCTGAAGGGAGCCAGATGACTTTTGGGGACCCTCTTGCCTGGCTGGGCCAACAACGCCCTTACCCAACTTTCAATAATTTGGTTTTTTTCCCCACTTGCATAATTTCCTTTTTGTTTACCACACCTGTCAAGAAGGTGACGTAAAACCTACCAGCTTATCTAATTGTAATATAATACACTTACACTGCAGTCAAGGCTGCTTCTTTGAACAGCTTTTGAAAGTAACTTTCCCTTGAAAGTTTAGTAGTAAGCCTAACCAATCAAACACTGCCTCTGGTAGAGGGGAGTCAATGAAGGCATTGGTTAGAGAGAGGACCTTCTCTGCAACTCGTGGTTTGACTCCTGTGGGTGCAGAGGAATTCCAGCAACACATTTATAGCTGTGTCATCTGCTCTCCCACAAGAACCTACGGGAGGCCCATAAACATAGTGGGAAATAGCAGTGATGAGATTCAAATTTTTTTACTATTGGTTCTGCGGGTGTGGCTTGGTGGGCACGGCACGGGAAGGATACTGTAAATTCCCCATTCCCTCCCCACTCCAGGGAATACTTCAAAATCCCCATTCTCTCCACACCCCACTAACATGCTTTCCAGCTCCTTTTTCCTGTGCAGGGCAACATAAGAAGATCCAGCCAATCAGCTGGGACTCAGGAGGGAGAGAATAGATAGGGGTGGGGCCAGACAGAGGTGGTATTTGCTGGTTCTCCAAGCTATTCCAAATTTCCGCTACCGGTTCTCAAAAACTGGTCAGAACCTGCTGAAGACCATCTCTGGGAAATAGCTTGTTAGAAGTGAGGAACAGTGTTCCAGGAACAACCAGCTTCTGCCAGAAATGGGTCCAAAAACCAATTAAGGTATTATGTCTAAATTAACCTGCTGTTTAAGCAAGCTTCCCCACCGAAGTCTATGTACCTAGAGGCCTGTACTTTCCTTTGATGTCATTGACAATGCTTTTCTGAGTAAGTCTGGGAATCGTTAGATCTGACTAACTGCTTTCTTTACTGGGGAAAACTGCCATTACAAATGAGGGAAAGCAAATATTCTGGTATAGTTGTATTTCTAGAGATTAGTTTCTCTATCAATATCATTTGGTATTGATGTTCTACCTTTGCCAAAGTCTCATCATCAAGATGATTCTTCTGAATCACATGTTGAAGTGCAAAATAAATCTTTTCCTGAAGTTTCTGGACCTTCCTTGGTTCTAAGAGCCAAGCTCGATCTGCCCAAAGAAGACAACAAAGTTAAAATAAGCATAAATATATGTCATTAGAAGGTAGAAAGGAGATGCATGGTAATTAGTTTAATTTTTAGCAAGATAATATCTCTAGTTTGTGAAGGAAGTGCACTCTTTCAGTTTCAAATCAAAATCTAATTACTTTGAATTAAACAATAGCTTTCTGTTTTGCTGTGAAATCCTCAATGCACTTCTCTAATGGAACAATAGATTAATGCCATAGCTATGCCATGCAACGTTGTCTTTTCTAAAGGAATATAGTTTATGATTCAGAAGTTGATCTATAAATTTAAAGGGCACTGAATTTAAAGAATTTTCCAAGGAAACGGAGGTACTGACAAACTACCTCCAGGTAACAATCTGTCCTGTTCACTCTCTCATCTCTCATGTTGAGGGTTCCTGATCTACAAGAAAAGAAATCTGTGGGGCACTTAGCAATGACATTTTTTCTGGTTGTAGCTTCTGAATTTCTAACTTATACCTCATTTAAAACAAAACACAAAACTGATTACATCAATTCAGCCTTCCTTGATTAAATTAATATGCCTACATGGGTGACATGCTACAGCAGGGATGTCAAACACAAGGCCCGTGGGGCCACATCTGGCCTGTGATCTGGTCAGATCTGGCCCGCGGGACCGTCCTGGAAAAATGTAAGGGGCTGGCCAGCGTGGCTTCAGCCTGGTCTACCCAGTGCAAAGATGTCACATGCCAGCAGTTTGGGGAGTGGCGTCAAGCTGGCCACACCCACCCAGTCAGCCATGTCCACTCGGCCCCTCAAGGTCAACCACAGCCCTGATGTGGTCCTCAATGAAATTGAGTAGATTTTGAATGCAGGATGAGGTTGTTGTTGTTGTTTTTAAAAAAAAGGAAAATCAGTTGCATAAAATCACCTGGTGATATTAGAACAGCAGATGAAAACAAAGCAATTTCTTCCTCGGTCAACTGCAATGAACACAAATTCTTTGCAAAGTCAAATGCTTCATTCACAAGGTCGTCAGAACCTAGAGATAACAGATAACCAAATCAACTTCTAGAAATACCCTCTGAGTGTGTATAGGATTTATACAGCTCAACAACCAGTATTAAGCACTGTTGTCAAGTTATTACCCAGCCACCTACATAAAGTTTCTGGGTATGGCTTTGATAGTAGCAAAATAGTAGCAAGAATGAATCTCACACTCACATGCTTCAATTGGTTAAGCTTTATACTTTATGGTTGAAGAGATCTAGGCTTCCATTCAGCTCTATCAACTGCTCAATCGTTCTCAGTCCTGGCTCCACTCAAGGGAGTCACATGAACCATGAAAACAATACTTGTGGACTTTCCTGTCATTTGCCCATCAATTCTGCATGCTGCTGTCTTAAACACCCATCTCAACTTTACAGATGGAATACCTGAAAGAGGAACTTTAATGAACAGCTATCAGGTTTGTAATGGAGCAGCTAGTCATTCACCTATCTAAACCACTTAGAGCTATGAAGACAAACTGTGATCTGTCACTTAATTACTTATTATAAATCTAGTGTGCTCATTCAGTTAATATAATTTATGTAGAAGTAATTTCCCCTTTCAGGTTAGAGAGCCACAAAAAAAAATGAAGTTACTTTTTAAAACTTTCTGAACACAGTAGAATTTGAGATCTCACAAAATGCCCTTCCCGACTTCTATCCTGAGGTCAGACATAAAAGCTGAGTCATGGATTTGCACCATGATGTTATGAAACATGTTTGATCCAGCTGTCCTTGTCTTTCCTGTTTTGAATGCCTTGGCTCCCTCACCCTAAATCTTTACACTCTCCCTTCATTATGTATGTTTACTATCTTATACTTTAATCTTATTCTGATCTAAAATCCAAACTTGTACCTTTTCCAAATCTAATACATGTTTTCAGCCTGTACTTTAAAAATAATTTGGTAGTAGCTCATAAATCTATGGGAGAAATGAATTTCAATTCTGCTTACCCAGATGGCATGACAAAAGCATGTAAAATAATTACTGAATAAACAGATTCAAGAACAAGAAAGTTGGTTTGCTGCTATTATATGGGATATATGCAGAATATCCCCATAGGAACTGAACTTTATTTTCTCATCTGCGAAAATAGATCTAGCAGATTCTTGGTCCACTAAATATTGAAAATGCTGAAATATATTTTTATCCCAATTATTTAGCCCAATTATTCAGCCCAATTATTTACAAGCAATGCAACCTGCTTACCCAAAGCCTTGAACATTTGCATTCCTCCATATTTTCCTTCAAATAAGACAGTGTTGTTGAGTGGATTGAAGGCACGGCACATTCTCACTAGAACAACTTCCAAGCAGCCTGAAATGATAACAAAAATCCTTAGATATTACACAGAAATATCCCACCAAGAAGGTATAGCCAGTTCTGTATTGTAAAAATACTACTTCTGATATTTGATGAATGTTGTAAGAAAAGGTATATTCAAGCTTTATTTTAGAAGAATATTGAATCACATATTATTTTAAACTTTGTCCCACTAGGATGATGATTGTTTTATTTATTTATTAATTACATTTATATGCTACCCAGCTCACTGTTGAATGACTGGAAGCGGCTTACAACATCATACTTTCAATCACTTTTATGTGCAACTAAACATATAACATTGGTGTTTCCACATGATAGGCACTGTGCAATTTTCTTTTTTGCATACTGGTATAGAAAAAGAAATAATGGTAAGAATGTGTAATTTTTTTTTTACTAAGCATAACAGATCCCGTATCTTTATCTTCTTTTATTGATCAAATATTGTTGCCGGTTAAGTGTTGTTAAACTGTAATATAATCTCCTCCACAAACCTGATTTGAGAAGTAGAATTTGATCATTCTGACAGAGTTCCATGAACCCCGTTATCCGTTTTGCAAATTCCACCACATACTGAATTGCATGGGTGATCTGGATTGCGCACTGCTGCCATAATGCTTCTCTTGACTTCAAGAAGTCACATGAAAAGGAAGGAAACCAGAGAGAGAAGAATGTTTCTTTTAGGTCAGAGATTATTCTGTTGAAAATTGGTAACAGATTGGCAAACATCTAATATTGAATGCATCTGGCTAAGGTCCCCCCAAAAATTCAATTCCCCTCCTGCTCTGCCTCTTCCACTCGCCACATGGATCCCATTAGATAATCTGTTTACCCATTTGCAATAACGTCATTGTCCCATTCATTGTGGCTCTTGGTCATTTTTAAAAAATATTCCCATTCTCAATATTCTCAAATGGGAAGCTCCATAAAATTTGTCCACCTTTGATTTAGATTATGATAATCATGAAATGATTTGCCCCTTGGATGTTTAATAGGCCCCTGGTTTTGTTTAATAAGGTGTCAACTTCACTGTCATTATATCCCTAGAACTTTGATTCCAATCATTATCTTCTCTAGGAGGGTAGACCCGTAACAAAAAAGGACCTGTATTAGGAATATAATTAATTAAACACAGAAATGGTTTTTGAACAAGTCTGGGTTTTAGAATATGCAGATAATACCTTAGTTCTGCCAAGTTCCTAACTCAATCAAATTATCTGATTCCACTTTTGATATTTCTCTAATGGAATTAGATGAAGATTGGGAAGTTTGCTCCACCTTTTAATTTTCCAATCCATCCTTTTGCAATCACTGTAGTTATAATCTAGTTATAATCATGAATTCAGAGAGGCAACACAGAGAATGGTTCTTTATGGTAAGGAAAAAAGAAACAACATTTTATTGGATTTTTTTTTGTACCTTGCTCTGGTATATTTTGATTTCTTCATATGTGTGAGTTTGCCAGGCTAGCTGGTGTAGTTCCTCCATTGTATACTGACACGTCTCCAAATGGGACTTAATTATGTTCTGTGCAATTCGATCTAAGAGACAGGAACAAATGGGACATAGCTCATAACATTTGATTTATAAATAATTATATGTGTAGTTTTATATATCAGATCTCAGGAACAACATCAGAGCTGTCTGTTCAGAAGAGTGCAATACTAGGAACAGCTAAGATCCTGTGCAAAATCCCCAAGACAGAATAGAAATAAAAATATTAAGTAATAATTTTATGAAATCTATAGGTGGATGGCTAGAATCACTGTCTTTCACCTGAATGTTTCTAGCAGTAGTTCATTGTAATGACTCAAAGGTGCTTTTTCAAGAGACAGAGGGACTTTCTGGTTTTTCTTTCAAGATGTTTCACTTCTTATCCACGAAGCTACTTCAGCTCTTGGATAAGAAGCAGTGTCCTAAAAAAATATATCAGAAAATCTACTTGCCTCTTGAAAAAGCACCTTAACCTGGATGACTGAGAATTTCCATAGACATTCATTGTAATTACTTCATTTAGTGAAATGTTACACTGACAGTCCAAGGTGATGTTGAAGTTGAGTCATTGTGCTATCCATTCATGTATAAGTTTTGGGGAGGCATTCAAGTTAGAAACGTACAATTTTGCAATCAACAGAGAATGTGATTATCATTCCCCTTTGAAATGCAAGGATTATGAAAGGATTGAAACACTGCAACAAACCTTCCCCGCAATAGCTGATACAGAAAGCACACAAATAGTAGGATCTGGGATGCTGAGTTGCCTATTACATGATATTGCTTTTTCAGCCATTTTAAATTATGGAAGATCTTCTTCCTGGTTTAAGAATTGATGCTGACAGGTAAGGAGTAAGATATGACAAAAGTCACACAGTAGTCTTGATTGAATGTTTGATTGAAACAGCAATGATTTAAATGATCCATTAATTTTCATTCTTGCTATGCCATGTGTAAATAGGTAGATGGGTAGATGTTTCAGTATTTGACCCCTTTGCATGGTGAGTTATTGAATTTTGCTGCTACTACTGAATTTTTACTATTTATGATAAAAGAATTTGAGCTTTTGGGGGCCAGAAAGATAAATTCGGTATCTTTTCATCTGGATTTAAGAAACAATTTACTTTTTTTTTCATTGAACTTGGCAAAACAGATGACAGAGAATTGACCCTTTAGAAGTGTATGCTGTGCATTCAACATACAATTACAGAATTGGAGAAATAGGCCAATAGTGTAAGACAAGTAATCCAGGAACAATAAATCTGTCAATCTCTGCAGGGTAAAACAAGGCTTTGCTCAAGACAAATGTCAGTACAATCATCAATCTTGATTATGATTTCCCTTTAGAAGTGAATAGATTAAATAAAAGATACAAACGTTTGTACTTCCATCTACTTGTGAATCAAGTAGATGGAATCTTGAGCTGTTGTGGTTAGCATGTGGCTCGTGATTAAAGGGGTTTTGTTTGTTGATTTCTACAGGTCAGTCTTGATTCTGTGCAACTTCCTGTACAAGTCCCTGTGTTTTTCTCAGCAACATATTTGGAAATAGTTTGCTATTGCCTTCTTCTTAGGAGTTAGAGTGATTGACTCAAAATCACAAAGCTGGCTTCATGCCTAAGGCAGGATTAGAATCCTATATCCTAATTTCTAGTTTTATGCCTAAACCACTATACCAAACTGGTTCTCAATGCTTAAAGTACACGTACACAATAGTGTCCAGTCCATGTAGAAAGAACATTTCTCAGATATGTGTCTGCACGGTGCATTATAAGTGTTGGGTATATGGATACACCAACTGGTTTGGGTGAATGAATATATAAAACCTAGGTTTAAGCGTTTGCAACTTTAAGCTCAAAACTGCAATGTCATTGCATAATTATGGGTGCGGTTGCAGGCTGCAATAAGAGGCAGTGAGAGAGACGTAACACTTCCTGGTTTCTGATCCTGGTTTCGAGTCCCTGGTCCTCCTGTTCCTGGTGTTACTGGTCTCTGGTCTGTCTGCTGTCTGTCTGCCTACTGTTTCCTCCTGTATGAGATGTCTACTGTGCAAGATACTTCTCTCTACTGAACACAAGGACTGTTTGCTTGGTGAGCTGTGGATTCAGCATTGTATTTGAGAGAAAGGTATCAGAAGAAGAAGATTTACAAGCAGATAAAGACGTTGTATTTACTGTTTAAAAGATTAGGTAACTGGATAGATATACTGGATACTGACATATGGACTGAATGACTCTTCTTAATCTCTGTATGAATTAAATACCTATTTAAAACCACAAACAGTGTTTTTGTCTCAAGTGTGTGTATACTTATGGGCCCAGCCTCACTCTCATTTTGGCTGCCTGGCTTGACTGCTGCTGTGCACTCTGCTCGGGGGTTTATCCCCAAACACTAACAATAAGGAAGTTTCTCCAATAAGTGTCAATTGATACCAAGACTATATACATCTGTCAAGAGCATTTCCAAGTTGTGAAATGCATATTAACTAGATATTTGTATTGTAATAGGAGTAGGGGGTGCCTAAAGCTTTTGATAGGTCTCTTACTTGGGATACTGGCTGTTGTTTGAACTGCCAGTGGGTTTAGCATACATCCTACTTTTGTTGCAATTGTGTCATAGAAATGACTTCCTTGAAAAATGTTCTCTACAGTTTAACAGGCATTGCACAATGTAATTGTATATCAAATGTCACTTTACAATATTAAAAAGGCATCTATTGTCCAATTCACTTTGTGATTTATTACATTTCCAAAGATTGCTAAAATTTGCACTTTATTTTATAAGGGTGGCTTCATTAACAATAATATGGTTTTCTAGGGAAAATGGCAGGGGGTCACTTACAGTGCTGATATCACAAAGGTGGAATTAGGGAGCACGTAATTTTCAAAATAACTCACCTCTCCTCTGATTTCCATATTTTCTTTTTCTGACACTACAATACTTATTTTTAAGCTGTGGCATACTTTTCAAAACAGAAGTAATTTGTGACTATGTTATAAATATTTTTGGAGCTTTAAATAAATGCTTAGAAACATTGGAGAGGTAGAATCATTTAGATCAAGGGTACCCAATCCCTGGTCCTTTGACCGGCACTGGGCTGCGGCATACTAGAAATCAGGCTATGCAAACAGGCAAAGCTCCATCTGTGGGATGCAGGCAGCATACGTACCCATGAACATACGGTCCATGGAAAAACCTCTCTCCACAGTAGAGAGATTGGGAACGGCTAAGTATTATGAAATAGAATATTGTTAGTTTAGTGGGGGAATCTTGATCCATAATATTCCTTTTATCTCTTTTCTATATTTCACTTTTCTCGTTTATTGGCTTTATGATGTGTCAGCTACTCATTTCTCAGCTTTCTCATTTTTTAATTCTTGGGAACTGTGAATGGTTTTGCAAAAGACAGTTTGCTTCTTACGAGCCTAGGAAGTAACTGAGATGATTTTCTTAAATGAGCAATAATATCTCTTTTACAATCTTAAACTAGAAAACCAACATGATCACATGGTTATGGATGGAAAATCCACATTAGAGTTTCATGTCTTTTTAAAATATTTGTTTAAAACAACATAAGCCTAGTCAGATTTTGAAATGAAAAGAAAGAGGCTGAATAGAGCAAGGATACAGAATTCCTTCTTTCCAACATTTATCTGATTTTTTTGCTGGCTACTATAAGAATTCAGAGAATTGATCTATGCAGGTGAAAAAATTCTAACTGAAAATGAATACATGAAAAAAATGCCACAATGAGAGCATTATCCGCTTTCTGTCTCACTGTCATCCTGACTGGTATGATCTTGATTTATTTATACATATATATGTATATAATACGATATATAGTGTGAGTTTTAGATTGTGAAAATTGTCTAAGATTAAAATATTTGAGAATAGAAAGTGGTATAAATGAGATCTGTATGTTGAAGTCATTATTTCAGTGTATGTCTATCTCATTTCTTGTCATAGACTCCCTAACATTTATCAAAAGCCTTTCATTTATCTTATTTTTTTCCTCAATTCAGACTATACACTGAAAGTTGTAGAAACTTCCTAAATTAAGAAATCTAGATAGTTTATAACTTTTGAAGAAAATAAAATAAAATAATCCTGATTTTTCAACCATTTTGGTTTATTTTTTAATCATTGTTAACTGTTGGCTGCAATTTAATTCGATTTGATACATCCGTTTTAAATTTGTAATCATGAAGTATGGGGGGGAGATTTAGCTATGACCAACTGAAAAAAAATTAAATGAAATTTCTGATGTGTTGGAGTACAGTTATTTTGAGAAAACACAGAATGGAACTAAACTCCTGGAAACATTTGGTGATAAAAGGACCAAATTTAGAATGTGGGGATTATAATTTTTAACAACGGTAGATTCTGTTGGCCATGGTTCCTCCTCTTCTGAAGTGAATGGGATGATGCCATATCCCTCTACAGAATGGAATACAAGCTTAAATAATACTTTTAAAATTGAGAAAAAACACATGAAACTTTTATGGTGGTATCTAGACATTTGGTCAATTTGTGTTATTTCTCCTTTATTACATTTTCCTTTAAAGCATTACGATTAACGGAAAATCGGAAAGTCTTTAAAACATTGCAAACAATTTAGCAGTTAGATAACAGCTCTGGACCTATCCATCCACACAGTGGTGCAGAGTCTGGGGAAAGCATCATTTTAATACTGCTTTAGGTGTGGTGTAGGTGAAACTATCACAAAGCTAGGTAGCTGATTTTTTTCCTTAAAGTACTACAGTTTATTTCTTCAGTGTTAGAAATTCCATGCCAGGTCTGGTTTTCCAAATGGCAGCAACTCTTTCTCTCAGTTGCTCTTTCTTTTTAAAACTCTACATTTCAGGAAACACAATTGTAGGCCAGATTCACATAGAGTTGGTAAATTATTGCAATATCCAATTTAGTTTGCACCCAGCAGTCAGGTATTATATACTGAGCAGACTGTGGACACATATCCCTTCAATTTTAGCAAAAATATAGCTGATATTTATTTATTCAACACCAGTAAATGTCAACACACCTAACTG